GTGGAATGATTTTTTTCTTCTTCTCTGAATTTTATTCTAAACAGATAATCACATGCAAGTACCGAAAAATACATGCACAAAGGAGCTACATAGGTTGGGAATTGAGAAAATATGATGCTGAATGTGTTGGTGGGCCAATCCTCTTTTGATACTTGGTGGACAAGTATAATAAAACCTGATGAGCAAGAAAGTAAAGCTTACCGGACAAAGCCTGATCGGAAAGTTTGCTAAAGCACGATGAACGAACTGTTGAACAAGACTTGTAGCCTATTTAAGAAATCTTGTTAGTCTTGATGAAAGTAAATTTTAAGTGCGGTTTAGCACTTGTAAAAGTAATATTTTTGTACTTTGTGAGGGCATGTATAAGATATTATAGGTTTGGTTCGGATAGTGATTCAATTGTATTTTATTTGCTGTATGGATTTTATCTCAAAGAGAAGAAAGGATAACTTTTGGTCGTGGATGTAGGCAATATTTGCAAAACTATTTAAATTTCTTGGGTTTGATTGGCACCTATCTTGTTATTTTTTTATTTTCGTTAAACTGTGTTTGCACCTATTTGATTCCACGACTATTTGTGCTACAGATCTTAGGATAGTGAAAGATTGCAATCTTGTGGCGCACGATCTCGTCAGGAGATCGATGGATTTTTCTTGAACAAATCAAAGTAAGATATTTGGGATGAAATCTGAAGAGCAAAGGTGATGTGAATATGAACAATTTCTCATAGCTTTATCCTTCAGCTGAGAAAGGTGAAGGATGTTCTGATTCAACAGGCTTGACAAAAGTGTTGAAAGGGAAGGACGTGAAGCCAGATAATGTAGCGAGCGGGATTTGAGCTCGAGCTAAGATGTGTGGGCATGATTTGGATTTGTAGTTCTTATAACATCGTGAACAATGTCCTTGATGAACATTGGAAGTTTCAGATGTGATAAAAATTTAAGGGAAAATTGCTTGGAGGAACCAAAATAAGTTAGAGCAAGCATCCTCCTAGTCCTCCCTGTAATACCCCAACCCTTGAGAGGGTGATGTGATTAGTATTGATAGATTTGATTGGAATACTCATACCACCAAGATGCATCTTCTTTTCGGGAACCCAACTCTTAGAAACTCCAAAGTTAAGCGTGCTTGGTCTTGAGAAATTCTAGGATGGGTGACCCCCTGAGAAGTTTTCCAAGGAGCGCGTGAGTGAGGACAAAAACGTGCTGAAAAGACATGTGGTGATTTGTGAGGCCAGTCCATCAGATCTAGTAGCGTACCGATTCCGGGAGTCCGGGGCGGGGCGTTACAAATGGTATCAGAGCAAAGCCAACCGGAATTGTGAGAGCTAAGTGCTATGCGGCGCAAAGTGCTACGTCAAGAGGGCGGGAGCCACCTCTTGAGGCCGTAGGAGCCACCTCTAGAATCTCACATGGATGGTATGGTCTTGGATGATATGATTTGGCGCAACGAGGACGTTGCGAGTTTAAGTGGGGGAGATTGTAATACCCCAACCCTTGAGAGGGTGATGTGATTAGTATTGATAGATTTGATTGGAATACTCATACCACCAAGATGCATCTTCTTTTCGGAAACCCAATTCTTAGAAACTCCAAAGTTGAGCGTGCTTGGCCCGGAGAAATTCTAGGATGGGTGACCTCCTGGGAAGTTTTCCCGGGAGCACGTGAGTGAGAACAAAACGTGCTGAAAAGACATGTGATGGTTTGTGAGGCCAGTCTATCAGATCTAATAGCGTACCGACTCCAGGATTCCGGGGCGAGGCGTTACACTCCCCAGCCCCAAAACCATAACCCCAAATCCTTAAATTGAAATATAAGCGCAAGTGCACGTCAAGAGGGCTGGAGCCACCGTCTTGAGGCCGTAGGAGCCACTCTAGAATCTCAACATGCGGATGGTATGGTCTTGATGATATATTTGCGCGCAACGAGGACGTGCGAGTTTAAGTGGGGGAGATTGAATACCCAACCCGTTGAGAGGTGATGTGATTAGTATTGAAGCATTTGATTGGCATATACTCATACCAACCAAGATGCATCTTCTTTTTCGGAACCCATTTCCTTAGAAACTCCAAAGTGCGTGCTTGGCCCGGTAGAAAATTCTAGGATGGGTGAACCTCCTGGGAAGTTTTCCCCGGGAAGCACCGTGAGTGGGAGAACACAAACGTGCCTGAAAAAAGACATGTGATGGTTTGTGAGGCCCAGTCTATCAGATCTAATAGCGTACCGACTCCAGGATTCGCGGCGAGGCGTTAACATTCCCAGCCCCAAAACCATAACCCCCAAATCCTTAAATTGAAATATAAGCCGCAACCCAAGCCCCTCCCTCTCCCGCTCTGCTGTCCCCGACCGCTTCGCCCACTCGCCGTCCTTTGATCCCGCTTACTCTCTCACCTCCGCCCCCTCCGCGATCATACCGAACACGTGGTGCTCCTCCGCCATGTTCCTCCCCGACGGCTTCTCCTCCCTCCAAAACCGCGGGAGCCTCGATGTTCTCCCGTAAGTTCCGCAAGCTCCACCCTTCCGCTTCTGCCCGACTGGGTCGAGACTCAGCTCTCCCGTCCCTCGCCGCCGGTCTCATGTACCCACCGACCAGATTCTGTCCAACGGCTCCCCGTCATCATCGTCAGGCCTATTGCATGTGTCTTTTAGGTTAGATTTGGATCGAAAACCCTAATTTTGTTATAACTTAAATTGAGAATTTGGGGCTTTTGATTAGATTTGGTGGCAAAGAGGGTGTCGATTTTGTAACTTGAATCATGGAATCAAATCAAAGATTGATTGTCGATTCTCTTTTGTGTTTGAGCCCCCCTTTGTGTTTATTGCTGTTTATTTCTTTGGTTTTGCTCGTTTTAATGAATTGCTGAATTACTCATGTTATTTTTTTTTAAATTTTAGGTGTTAGAAGTTAGTTGGCAAGTCTTGATGGGAGAGGAATTAACGAAAAGCCCTGGCTTTGCTGTGTGGGCTTAGATTAGGGATGGGGAGGATGATACAGATTCATTCGAGCCCGTCCGATCAGAATATGCACAGTTCTTGGGGCTTTGCTGTTGATGATGATGATGAGAAGGAGAACAAAAAATAACTTCGATCCTATCTTGTAGATTTCTCAGGGGATGATGACGAGGAGGAGAGCAAAAGACAAGTTCTTGTTCCCTTTTTAATTCAACTTCGGATCATTCTATGTGCAAATTCATGTCGTATACGAATCTACAAATAGAATCTCTTGCAATGTGGTTATTAGTTAGTTGGTTTTGTACAAATTTGTCATTTGGACGGTTAACAGAGTTCATCGGTTTGTAAAATTTGATAAGGAAATCGAAGTCAACTTGTTTAATTTTGCTATAAAATTATGTTTGTCCTTCATGTGACAAGCCATCTTAGAATTGCTCCAGATGTCCTTTTATGAGAAAATCTTAGGCTCTTAAACAATACATATCAGGACAAATGTCACATATTAACTACAAATATCACATATTAATATCCAGGTGTCCTTTTATGTGATATTTGTAGTTAATATGTGATATTTGCTATGTTATTCAAGTTTTTTATATTTATATGATTTATTACACTTGCTTATGTGACATATGATAGTTTCATATGACATATGACGGTTTCATGTCATATATGCTGTTTTAATGTGATATTTGTTGTTTATACGTGACACTTGGGTGTTGTATATGATATTTGGGTGTTGTATGTGATATTTGGATATTGCTTGTGACATTTGTTGTTTATTCGTGACATTTGAGTGTTGTATGTGATATTTGGCTGTAATTTATTGATAGTGAATGTGCTTATTTGTCACATGGCTGTAATTTGTTTATACGTGACACATGGCTGTAATTTGTTATATGTGATATTTAGATCTAATAGAGTCATCCCACATGTGCTTATTTGTCACATGATATACTTATTTGTCACATGTGGAATGACTCTATTAGATGTGACTTATATCACATACAACCCATATAACATTGAAATATCACATGATATGCTTTTGTCATATGTGGAATGACTCTATTAGATGTAACTTATATCTGTTGTATGTAATATTTGGGTGTTGCTTGTGATATTTGTTGTTTATACGTGATATTTGGGTGTTGTATTTGATATTTGGATGTAATTTATTAATAGTGAATGTGTCACGTATAAACAACAAATATCACAAGCAACACCAAAATATCACATACAACACCCAAATATCACATACACCACCCAAATATCACATACAACACCCAAATATCACGTATAAATAACAAATGTCACAAGCAACACCTAAATATCACATACAATACCCAAATATCACGTATAAATAACAAATGTCACAAGCAACACCTAAATATCACATACAACACCCAAATATCACAAATAAGATCTAAATATCACATATAAGGTAGAGTCACATGTAAGATAGAATTGTCACATATAACATTGAAATATCACATGATATGTTTATTTGTCACATTTACGATTAATTGTGATACATATATGTTCCCTGATTTTCCAATTTAACCTTGAATAACTAAGAAACGTAACAACACTCCCAAATTAAACTCTAATTGGATCAAAATCATCCTTACAAAGGATTTCAATCCATCAAACAAAAATACATCAGGAAGTTACAATCCCAACCCACCAGTCCATTTTCGTTGTAGAACCAATCTACAATAATGTGCAGTACAAACAATGAACTTAAAACTCAAATTTAAAGCAAACAAATTTCCCTCTTCTTCTTCTTCTTCTTCATTCCTTTTTTTTGGGTGCACTGAATTAGGTACAAATCTTATGTCCTCTCCCCCAAAAAATCATCTTTTGTTCTCTTTCTCATTATCATCATCAACAGGAGAGCCCCAAGAATTATATAGATTATGATCGGACGGGCTCAAGTGAATCTACATCATCCTCCTCATCCCTAATCCAAGCCCACACATCTGCATCATTGCCTTCTCAACCTCCTCCTCGTCCTCATTTGATTTTCTCCCTGAGCCCACAACTTCTTTGTTAATTCTTCACCAGTCCATTCACTAGCATCTTCATCGTCTTAAACCCCGGCATCCAATTTTTCCCCATTGCATCCTTATAAACTCCCATGGCAGCCTCAAAATCCCCACTCTGACACAAATAATGTATCAAGCCAAAATAACAACGACCCTCTCCAGACACAACCCTTTTCTTTCCCATCTCCTCATACACTCTTTTAGCCTCCTCCAACATCCCTTCTTTACAAAATCCAACAATCAAAAGATTATATATCACCCAATTCGGCTTCATCCTCTTCGACAACATCTCCCTATACAAATCCTTCGCCTCCCTCATCCTCTTCAACTTACATAGCCCCCCAATCCTCACATTATACACTAAATTCGAATTCGGGTTTAACCCATACACTTTCATCAACCCCAAAATCTTATCTACGTCCTCCAACTTCTGCTCCCTATAGAAACCTGAGATCACATTAGTAAAAGTGGTCGAATTGGGCTTAATTTTCCTCTTCATTTCATCGAACATGGAGTAGGCGGAGCGAGTGGAGCATGATTCAACGAACAACTTGATGAGGGTGTTGTAAGTGTCAATGTCTGGGACAATATTGTAGGGCTCGATGAGGTCAGTGAAGAACTTGGCGGCGGTACGGTGGTCGCCGGTGAGGATGGAGGTGAAGAGGAGAGAGTTGAGGGTTTGGGTGGAGGGATGGGAGCGGAAGGCGGAGGTGGCATCGTCGAGGAGGCGGGCTTGGCCGAAGAGGACAATGGAGTGGGACACGTTACCGACGGAGAGGAGGGGTGGAGGAGGGA